CCCCCCCCCCCCCCCCTCCCCAATGCTTTGAGATCTCAAAATGCTGAGAAAAGTGCTCAAGCCCAGGTGCAGCAGACCTTGGCCGGTTCATAAGCTTCCCCCAAAGAAAACATGGGCTCCACCAGAGAAGCAACGTTCCCGCGCTTCACGACCACGACATCGTAGTTAGAGGGGTGGAAGGCCTCAGTCAGCCGTGCCACGTCCGCTCTCGAGAAGAATGCCCAGGGCGACGTTTGAAGTACAAGGGTGATGCATGGCGAAGCATCGACGATGGCCCAAAGCCCCTCGTTCACAATGCCCCGAAGACGGGCGTCAGAGAGCACCAGCGCCTCGCAACCCTCACCGAAATCGGCACCAATGGCGTGGCCGGCCCCGATTCGAAGCGGCAGCGGAAGTTCTGAGAGAGGCTTCGCCGCTTCGTGCGCTCTTTCCCAAAGCTCCGCGCAGGTCTTCACCGCCGCGTGGTCGGCAAGCCCAGCGATGAGCACCCGTGGATGAGCTTTGCCTCCTTCCCGCGGCACCGAGGTCTTTTCCAAGAGCTTCCGGCAAACGAAAGGCACATCACCTTCTCTCAACTCTGAGAGTTTCGAGGACGGAGCTTTCTTGCTTGGGTTTCCCTCGGTTTCTGAGAGGTTTGGGGCCCGGGGCCCCGGTGCGCCTGACGTCCCGGCATTGGCATTGTCCCCCAAATCGCCGAGGAGAACCTTCTGCCCCTGGTCATAAGCCGCATACATCTCCTGAAGGGCCTCGTGCCAGGGAGTCGTTGAAGAGTCTCTTGGGTATGTGAATTCCTTACTTCCCCAATGAGCCAGGAAAATAAAAGGTCAAACTTTCAGATTGCTACTAAACTGTAAGAGCCCAAACAGTTTAAAGGTGATCTTGGAGAACTAAGATTCAGTCCTTCTGTCCCAGTACCACTGAGCGAGCTGCTGGGCCAGGATACCACAGGCTTCTTTTGCCTCTGAGGAACATGTGAGGACCACCGCCGAACCCACACGCGGCGTGTTCTCGTGGCCATGCCTTCGGTTGGTTCATCTCACCCACACTGGGAAACCGCGATAGCTGTCGTTATGGCAACTTAAACTGCATCTCTCAAAGCCCCACAAAACTGTTATCATATCCTTGACCACAAAGCCCCGTCAAACTTCTAGAAGCCCTCTTGGAACTTTTAAGAGCAATGAGCCCAGATGCCCGACGAAGAAGGAGGCGTCCAACAAGCCATCCTTTGCTTCGACCCCGTCGTCGACGGGGCCAAGAAGCCTGATTCCCTCTTGGGACTATATTAAACATGATCATTTTCAGTGCGTATTGGGTTTTCTTATAACAAAAATGAAAAAACTCACCATTTCTAATGCTTATTGGGGGTTTCTTATAACAAAAACTTTAAAAATTGTATCCAACAAGGACCCAGAAGCTCCGTAAGGATACCCGTGCGCCAGTCTGGAGGCTCCAGGTCCCGAAGCCTTTAATCGTAGGTTTAGGGGTTTAGGGGTTTTAGGGGTTTAGGGTTTTTAGGGGCTTTAGGGGTTTTAGGGTTTTTAAGGGCTTTAGGGGTTTAGGGTTTAGGAGTTTAGGGTTTAGGGGGGTTTAGGAGTTTAAGGGTTTTCGGGTTTATAAGGAGTTTAGGGTTTAGGGGTTTAGGAGTTTAGGGTTTTAGGGGTTAGCAGCTTAGGGCTTCGGGTCCCGAAGCCTTAAAGGCAACAAAGGGCTCCTTAACGGGTTCTGTAAGGGATCGAGCACGGTTTGATACAGTTCAGCGGAAGCTCATAGCTGGGGTTATACATAAGACCACTTTACTCATAAGGCTTGAATGTAGGCTCCTAAATGATTACCTATACTAGTTTGCGGTTCCTTATTGTATTTTGAATATACGATGCCACAAAACCCTGTTCTAATTCCTAGATTCAGCAAAAAAGGTGGTCC